TAACAGTGGTAATCAACCTTGATAGTGAGTGATTTAGCAAAGGCACACTAGTTGTATCAATGATATTGAATCATTCGATGTTTTGTAGCTTCTATTACTTATTGGCGAAGCATTTCAAGAATATTCTGATAATGTGAATGGTGCTGTTATACAAATCCGTAACAAAGGAGATAAACTTGCAATATGGACTGACAATGCTAAAGACCAGGAAGGCGCAACCAGAATAGGGTATGRTTCTYCTTGTCCTTCTCTTCTTCTTCATCAAATAAACTCTTGTTGAAGTTGACAGTTTTTGAAATTTTCTTCTTCAGCTTCAATGTCTTCCTCYTCTTCTGACTCTGCTTTCTCTTTCCCTTGTGCTTTCTCATATTCTTGCTAAGTTTCTTCTTGTTTGTTTGTTTTTKACTTCTTCCTCTCCTTTCCTTATTCTAGTCAAAATGGTGGAAACTAGTGGTAAAATAGTATGRGCTGCATCTGTCCTTCTAAAGATACAGTTGTGTAAAAAAGATAAATTTTAACACCATAAAAAAATAAGGGGAAACAACTTTATTTACTGACATTTCAGACAATCATTCTTTACTATGATGAATGATTAATGTCTGAAATATCAGTAAGTTTTTTCACCTACTATTTTTACAATGCAAAAATTAATCTTTTTGYATTACTGTTTCTTGTTTTGGTTCAACTTGTACATGTGCTTTTACGTTTCCTTCAGTAACCTTGCTTTTCAGCTGAAGTTTCATTCAATTAGTGGTTTGTTATATGTGTTTGTTCAATTTGTATTTGTAGACAAATCTTCAAAGAAAGAGTTGGTCTACCACCAAGAGTACACATAGGATATCAGGTAAGAATAATAATGATTAATAATACAAATGATCACCGATCGTTATTGAGTGATAGTAATGGCATTAAAACTGCACATAAGAATCCATATTCATATGCTCTTTATTACATATGTACAAGCAATATCAGTGAACATATTATCATCAATAAACTATCACTTTTAACTAAGATTTCATAAACAATGCAAGACTTACAGCATCTTGACAAATCCGTCACTCACTCACTCACTCAATACCTCACTCACTTCCTGTAAACTAATATTTTTATTTCTTCAAGGCTCATAATGACACTATGAGTAAAACAGGCTCCACAACCAAGTCACTCTTCTCCTTATAATACAGACATAATCCAAAGGTGTCAATATTTTATAAAGACTAGGAGGTATTCTATTTAATATTTCTGATATGGACTTGTTTACTCGCTTAGCGAGAATGCTAGTGATGGTATTCACATGTAGCCATTTCAGATAAAGGTTGTTAGAGATATTGGAGAAAATAGGATCAACGGTTATTGTATGTGTTAATTATTAGTGGAAAAATTTGCTACTTGAGGCTTCCAATATTGTAATTTCCACTTGTTGAAGATCWTCAATGTCAGGTTGATCATGTTTTTCATGCAGGAAAATGCATAAAAGAAAATTATTTTGGAGATTAATCATAATGTTCACCCATTTAAGACAGCTAACACTCTTGTTTCCACTTCATAAAGATCTTCTGTGACAATTTTCTTTTTTTTTGTTTCTCAATCAAATGAATGAATATATATAGGCCATAAAATAGTGAATACATTTGCCATTATCTCTGACAATCTTATGTGAAATAGCAGTATGGTCATGTATCAAATAACATATACTCAATAGAACATTGTAAGATTCATAGTCATGGAGCATAGAAGCTGAGACCAAAAAGGCTCATTGGACATAATGAAGGCATCCTTTACGATTCCCTGCACCATCTTGAAAGGTTGTTAAAGGGACACTGTCAATGGATGACATGAGCAGTAACAGTCTCACCTCTAACGAACTTTGAGGTAAATCATTTTGTGGTGCTTTTGACACACTTTGGAATATTCTAGATCTGTTTACGTTTACGAGCTGATTTATGTCGC